ACCTCACAGTGTATATAACACTGAATTTATACACCTCACAGTGTAATACCTGAATGTATACACCTCACAGTGTATAAAACACTGAGATATATACACCTCACAGTGTATATACCTGAGATATACACCTCACAGTGTAATAAAACTGAGATATAACAAACCCCGCATGTATATACACTGAGATATATACACCTCACTGGGTTTACACTTGAAAATATACACTCCACAGTTTTAAAACACTGAATATACACTCACAGTATATACACTGAATAAAACTCCCACATTAATACACGAGAAACACCTCACAGTGATATACACTGAGATATACACCCACAGTGTATATCACTGAGATTATCACTTGTACATTGTAACAGTAATACTGTTCATTCACCAGTGATTTCCCCCACTGTAGAGCCTTTGAACGAGGAAATACGCTCATGGACCCCCTCCCCTTCTGCATCAAACTTGCGCCCTACCTCAACCCCCTTTCGGGGCTGGTGCTCCTCATAGAACACCGGACATGCCTGGGCCCGCCAAGCGAACTCTCAAGAATTACACAGGACGGGCTCTCGCCGCCCGTGTCTGAAAACCCCCGGGGGGTTCCTCCACAGGTGTCAGCCTCGGTTTAGGTTGCCTCTGGTTCCTCGGTGAGAGGGAGGTGAGCGTAAGGGGGGAAGACCCAGGCGGCTAGTGCCCATGCCTCCTGATGCACCTAATTCTCGCTTTCTCAAAGGATTCGTCGGAATACGGAAAACTCTTCTTGCGGAAACCTGGGACTCGGAAAGCCCTGGCGGCCGGTATCCCCTTGCGGCGGGAGATGGGTGAGAGCCTAAGCTTTAAATTCCTGACCAGTGGCGCGCGTACCCCGCGGCCCCGCAGGCAAAGCGTGCCAGGGAATTCTGCCGCAGGTTGGAAAGCCTTCTGCGACTTCCCAGTGCCGCAAGTTGCTGCTCCCGCGGCATGTAGGACACCGTGGAATGGGACCTTTGGGACCTAGGGGCCGCACCTATCTCCTCCCCATCCTCGCTGGTGAAGAGGTCAGTCGTTTTCCGTGGGAAGTCAATAGACCCTAACGGGGGAGCCGGTAACCGCTTCCTTAGGGAAGCACGAACTAAGGGTAGATGTGGCACTGCAAGTGACCGGCCGCTTACCCTGTCTGACGAACATCTGGTTGACATCCAGTAGTATGTCGCAGCCCTCAACGATCATCCGCTCTATGGCTAGGTTCTTGCGGATGTTCTCAGTGTCGCTTCCACGCTGTAAATAACAGGCATGAACGTGACGTGAACGTGATGTTGAAAGAAGGAGCGCAATGTGACCCAAAGGGCATGTGACTTGACACTTGGAAAAGTGATGTGACATAAGGGAATGTGAAGGACACAGGGAAACGTGAATGGTACCAAGATGTACACCACACAACGTATCATCCTTTGTGCCGATGATACTAGGATCTGCTGAGGCTGTCATCTGCTGAGGGACGCGGTTAACTCCAAGAAGAATATAAACAAAGTTTCCAGTGGGCAACAAACGGTATACAATATGATGTTCAATGAGGACAAATTCCAACTACTCCGTTATGGAAAACTGGAGGAGATAATAACTAGAAATAATCATCAGTAAGTCTAATCACAAAATAGAGTGGAAAAGTAATGTGAAGGACCTGGGAGTGATAATGTCTGAAGACCTCACCTTCAAGGACCACAACAGCGCCACTATCACATCTGCTAGGAAACTGATAGGATGGATAATGAGAACATTCAAGACAAGAGATGCTAAGCCAATGATGATCCTTTTTAAATCACTTGTTCTCTCTAGGCTGGAATACTGCTGTACATTAACATCTCCATTCAAGACAGGTGAAACTGCTGATCTAGAGAATGTACAGAGATCCTTTACTGCACATATAAGTTCCAACAAGCACCTTAACTACTGGGAACGCTTGTTGACTTGTGCTCACTGGACCACAGGCGAGAGAGCTACATTATAATCTACACCTGGAAGATCCTGGAGGGTCTGGTCCCTAATCTGCACACAGGAATCACTCCCTGTGAAAGAAAAGACTTGGCAGGCAATGCAACATACCCCAGTGAGAAGTAAGGGCGTCATTAGTAGACTATGAGAAAAAGCAATAAGTGTCCGGGGCCCAAGACTGTTCAACAGCCTCCAGCCAGCAATAAGAGGAATTACCAGTAGACCCCTGGTTGTCTTCAAGAGAGAGCTGGACAGATACCTAAAGTCAGTGCCAGATTAGCCGGGCTGTGGTTCGTATGTTGGACTACGTGCGACCAGCAGTAGCAGCCTCATTGATCAGACCCTGATCCACCAGGAGGCCTAGTCATGGACCAGGCCACATGGGAGTTGATCTCTGGAATACCCTCCAGGTAGATTCCAGGTAGGGAACGTGATGTGACAGAAGGAAATGTAACATGAGAGAAAGGAATGTGACATGAGAGAAGGGAATGTGACATGAGAGAAGGGAATGTGACATGAGAGAAGGGAATATGACATGAGAGAAGGGAATGTGACATGAGAGAAGGGAATGTGACATGAGAGAAGGGAATGTGACATGAGAGAAGGGAATGTGACATGAGAGAAGGGAATATGACATGAGAGAAGGGAATGTGACATGAAAAAGGGGAATGTGACATGAGAGAAAGGGAATGTACATGAGAGAAGGGAATGTGACATGAGAGAAGGGAATGTGACATGAGAGAAGGGAATGTGACATGAGAGAAGGGAATGTGACATGAGAGAAGGGAATGTGACATGAGAGAAGGGAATGTGACATGAGAGAAGGGAAATTTGTGACATGAGAGAAGGGAATGTGACATGAGAGAAGGGAATGTGACATGAGAGAAGGGAATGTGACATGAGAGAAGGGAATGTGACATGAAGAAGGGAATGTGACATGAGAGAAGGGAATGTGACATGAGAGAAGGGAATGTGACATGAGAGAAGGGAATGTGACATGAGAGAAGGGAATGTGACATGAGAGAAGGGAATATGATGTATGAAAGTCAGGAAAGGAAGATATGACACCATCTTGTATGATAACCTCAGAGGTAAACATGGGTGAGATATAAGCTTTGAAAAGACCCTTTTAGGCTCTGTGTAGAGCTTTATCAAGTCAAAAGGGGGTAGATAGAGTTTTTAGAGGTTGTAGACATAGTATGAGCCTTGAGGACAAGCAGAATATAGAGAATAGAGTCTTAAGAATTTGTAGACATAGAGCCTAGAAGACAAGTAGGATAGAAAGGATAGAATCTTTAAAAACTGAAGATAAAGAGCCTCGAGGACAAGTGGGATGGAGAGGATAAGGGACGAAGGGACATTTTTTTTTTCGTTGTTTTTAGTCCAATTTCAAATTTAACTTTATCCTGTGATTTAAAAAGCAGTTTGCATCCTACACACTTGTTTATATTGACTTCTTGTTGCAAAGTTGCAAGATATTCCAAAATTGTATTTATCATAAAAGCCTTACTGGCCTACTTTGTAAAATTACTCTCATCCTATGATTACAGACATAGATCCTGATGTTAACTTTTTACTAAATGAATTACACGAATCAACCAGTAACTGTAATTACTACACAGCAGAGCAAGCAAAGACATTACTCAGTGCAAACAGTAACATAACCATCATTAACTACAATGTCAGATCCTTGAGTAAACATTATGACAACCTCACAGCATTACTCAGTTCCCTTCATTCCAATATATCAATCATCACACTCACAGAAACCTGGCTTAAGCCTGATATTACAGATGTCTATACCATTCCTGGCTACATGGTCACACACAACTGTAGAACAGACCAGCAAGGGGGAGGAACAGCTATATACTACTCAAATCAACTCGAATGTATCAATATATCTTGCACAAGGGACGAACATGGAGAATATATCATAGCCAAATTTAAATCAAAAGACCTGCAAAAATCCCTCACAGTTATAAACATGTACAGAGTACCACAGTCAAACATTTACCACTTTAGTGAGAAACTGGGAAACATGATTACTGATGCACACGTGAATAAAGACCACCTGCTACTAACAGGAGATTTCAACATAAACATACTCCACGACCAGGACCCACAAGTAACCGAATTCACAAACACAATGTGTAACTACCTGTTGCTACCAGCAATATCTAAACCTACAAGAATCAACGAGACAAACATCTCCTTAATAGACCACATCTGGACAAACACAATATCCCCTTTAAAATCAGACATAATCACAGACAACACTACAGACCACTACCCAACCTTTCTCATAACTAATCTGGGCAAACTACCACAAGACATTACTAAAGTAACCTTCAGACTACATAACGAGACAGCAGTTAACAACTTTATAGCAGCTATGAATAACATCGATTGGCAAAATGAGCTTGAAACATATACAGATATAAATGAATATATAAATAATTTTCTAAAAAAAGCCCAAAGCCTCTATAACAGACATTGTCCCAGAAAAACAAAACAGATCACACCTACTCACACCTACTCACATCTACTCACACCTACTCACACCTACTCACATCTACTCACACCTACTCACACCTACTCACACCTACTTACACCTACTCACACCTACTCACACCTACTCACACCTACTCACACCTACTCACACCCTACTTACACCTACTCACACCTACTCACACCTACTCACACCTACTCACACCTACTCACATCTACACACACCTACTCACACCTACTCACACCTACTCACACCTACTCAAAACCTACTCACATCTACTCACACCTACTCACATCTACTCCACACCTACTCACACCTACTCACACCTACTCACACCTACTCACACCTACTTACACCTACTCACACCTACTCACACCTACTCACACCTACTCACACCTACTACACATCTACTCACACCTACTCACATCTACTCACACCTACTCACATCTACTCACACCTACTCACACCTACTCACACCTACTCACACCTACTCACACCTACTTACACCTACACACACCTACTCACACCTACTCAACACCTACTCACACCTACTCACATCTACTCCACACCTACTCACATCTACTCACACCTACTCAAAAATCTACTCACACCTACTCACACCTACTCACACCTAACTCACACCTACTCACACCTACTTACACCTACTCACACCTACTCACACCTACTCACACCTACTCACACCTACTCACATCTACTCACACCTACTCACACCCACTCACACCTACTCACACCTACTCACACACCTACTCACATCTACTCACACCTACTCACATCTACTCACACCTACTCACACCTACTCACACCTACTCCACACCTACTCACACCTACTTACACCTACTCACACCTACTCACACCTACTCACACCTACTCACACCTACTCACATCTACTCACACCTACTCACATCTACTCACACCTACTCACACCTACTCACACCCACTCACACCTACTCACACCTACTTACACCTACTCACACCTACTCACACCTACTCACATCTACTCACACCTACTCACATCTACTCACACCTACTCCCCACCTACTCACACCTACTTACACCTACTCACACCTACTCACACCTACTCACACCTACTCACACCTACTCACACCTACTCACACACCTACTCACACCTACTCACATCTACTCACAACCTACTCACACCTACTCACACCTACTCACACCTACTTACACCTACTCACACCTACTCACACCTACTCACACCTACTCACAACCTTACTCACCACCTACTCACACCTACTCACACCTACTTACACCTACTCACACCTACTCACACCTACTCACACCTACTCACACCTACTCACACCTACTCACACCTACTCACATCTACTCACACCTACTCACACCTACTCACACCTACTCACACCTACTCACACCTACTCACACCTACTCACACCTACTCACACCTACTCACACCTACTCAAACCTACTCACACCTACTCACACCTACTCACACCTACTCACACCTACTGAAACAACAAACAAACTTAATGTTTTCTTCTCCACCATAGGAAAAAAATCTAGCGAACAAAATACCAAACACGAACACCCGTCCATCAGACTACCTCACAGGTACCTACCCAAATACGCTGTTCCTAGCTCCAACCAACCCACCAGAAGTCTCGCTCATCATCAACAACTTTAAAAACAAGGCAGGAGACATAAACAACTTCCTGCTTTTATGTACATAAAAGCTTCTCAAGTATTGTCATCAATTATTGCAACGCTCTTTAACAAATCCATTGAGTCATCTACCTTCCCAACAATCCTCAAAATAGCGAGGGTCACACCGATCCATAAAGGAGGTGACCAAGCTGACTTGAATAACTATAGACCAATATCTAACTTACCAATGCTCTCTAAAATCTTTGAAAAATTATTTCAGACGGATCTGTTGCTACCTCGTCTCAAACAACATATTAAACCCTTGTCAGTTTGGATTCAGAAATAATAAAAGCACAAATGATGCTATCATACACATGTTAGAACTAATATATACCGCACTTGAAAAGAAAGAAGTCCCGCTGGGCATTTTCATTGATTTACGTAAAGTTATGATACAGTCGACCATGAACTGCTGTACTCCAAATTAATGCACTATGGTATCAGAGGCCACTCCCTCAACTACCTAAAATCATACCTTAGTAACAGAACTCAATATGCGTATGCAAATGATGCAAACTCTTCCACCCAACCAATCACAGTAGGAGTCCCAAAAGGAAGCGTCCTTGGACCACTCCTCTTTCTCATCTACATCAATGATCTACCGAATGCATCACAGCTACTCTCAAACCCTTATTATTTGCAGATGACACTACATACGTCTTTTCCCACCCAAACACAGTCATACTAGCAAACACAGTCAATGCTGAATTACAGAAAATATCTGCCTGGATGATGACTAACAAACTTACCCTGAACACTGATAAAACCTATTTCATTAAGTTTGGAAACAAAGCTGCAAATGATACAATTAACATAACGCTAAATGGATCATCAGTCACAAGACTCACAGAGGGAACATTCCTAGGTATCCACCTTGACAGTAGCCTTAAGTTCCGGACACACATACAACAAATCACCAAGAAAATCTCCAAGACTGTAGGCATACTATCAAAGATAAGGTACTACGTTCCACAATCAGCTCTCCTGGCACTGTACCATACACTCATATACCCTTATCTTACATATGTAATTTGTGCATGGGGATCAGCAACATCCAATCACTTAAAACCTCTAATAACCCAGCCAAAGGCAGCAGTAAGAATAACAAATTCCCACTCCCGCCAGCATGCTCCACCAATTTTCAAAAGTCTGAATCTGCTCACCATTAAGAACATCCATACTTATTCATGTGCCTACTACATACACAGAACAATACACACAAATATAAACCCTCCACTCAAACTTCTCCTCACCAACCTAAACAGGACACTTGACCACAACACAAGACACAGATCTCTTTTTGATATACCTCGTGTCCATATCACACTGTGTAAAAACTCTATGCACATAAAGGGACCAAAATATGGAATTCATTACCAGAAGATATTAAAGTAACCCAGTCTAAAAATTAATTTAAGACTCTTCTCAAAAGCCATTTAATCACCCTAGACTAAATGCTACTACTTAATACACACATACTCACTTATGTTCTCCCACATCACAACGTCAACAATCACTTTGAACCTTTTATCTATTGTTGACACGAATATAATTGAATCATTGTTTTCACAAAAAGCATTTTCGAATATAAATATATCTTTGTATTATACAAATTTTGATTCATTTATAATTAATATTCTACTGTACAACTATGAAATAATTACTGTCCTACTGTACAACTATGATATACTCCTTAGTGTTAAGTAGACTGTAAGTCAATAATGTTAAGTTGGTCCATAATACCAAGGCATAATAGAGGCTCTTTTTGTATTGCAACCCTCTATTGTAAATATAGAATATCAAATAAATAAATTAAAACTTAAAATAAATGAATAAATAATGATATACAATGTTCTGGTCAGCATCAGATGATAGATGAAGAATTAGATTATCTAAATTTCGAAGTTTTTTGTGAGAAATGTCAATAGATTGCATTATAAAAAATTTGAAATTTGTGTTTTTTTAGGAGTTTTTTGGGAGAATAAGAGTCAATATAAACAAAATGGTAAAACATTGCAAATCACCTGCGAAGATTAATAGAAAAATCATTCATCAATATTGTTTGAAAAATATCATGACACTCCTATTATTACTCTTCGAAAAAAATAAAACAAATGTCAACAACTTATTCCTGGTTTATTTATATTTTTGTTTCAATAAAACACTATGGACATGACGCGTCAAGTTTGAGCGTGTTGCGAACCCGTATTATTATTGGCACCTCAGAGGCGACTGAGCAGCTACCACTCACTGATCTTCACTTTAGTCCTCACAGAACTTGCCACGTTGAGTATTTAGAATGAAACAATCATAACAATAGTCATTTTTGGAGTAAAAAAACAAAAATACTAATTGCCAACATGTCCTCTTGATGTGTGTGTGTGATGAATGGTTTGAAAAACCGACAAGTTGAAGATTGAGACACTTATACGCCTTCCTCTTTGTATTGGACTGATGAAGCCACTGTGTGGCGAAACGTTTCCTGAATAAAGATTCCATATGCTGCATAAGTGTCTCAATCTTCAACTTGTCCTCTCGAGGACAGCAAACACACAAAAATTACATTTTTGAAAAAACATAGAAATGCGATAGAAACAAGCTGATTGTACCGACATATTGCCAGAATTTTGTACTATTTTTGGGTAAGAAAACCTTAATTTCCACAATTTTTCAACTTCAATTTTAAAATCTCTAAAAAACAAAAGGTCTCTGCCCCATAAGGTGGTTAGCCTGAGGAACGAGGGTGATTAAGCAACAATTACCTCATCATGCATTTGTCGTGATAGGTCCTCCAGCTGCATCCTGGCGTGATCCAGACTCTTCCTCTCAACGTGGTTGTGCGGAGTGTGGGCCAGTAGCTCGTGCAATGTGATGATGTACCGAGGGATCTGCAATGCACCAGTCATTACTATGCAACACATATGCTTGACCAGGAGCCGTGACACAGCCCACTGCAACCACGGATGGATAAGCACACACATATGAATACCCCAATACCCTTCTAAGCAGATGGATTATCCAGAATCCAGCCCTAACCCCAGTCAACCAAAACGATTGTAGAAGCTTGTCTATAGGATAATTGCTGATCTGTCAGTTATCCCAACAGCAATTAATAATCACCCCTAACAAGGTATAATAATCATAATGCAGAGTAATAATTTTAATGCATAATAATTCGAAGATGGTATAGTAGAAATAAGTATAAATTTATGGAACACAATACAAAGGGACTTACTGATGACTCATGAATATACGCGAGGGATTTTTCTGTAGTTTCTCCTGAAATTTTTTGTATATAGAGAGTAAATGCCAATAGAAAATGAGATGTTGGAAGTCGGTGATCATTGAAGGTATAGGAAAGTGAGATTTCTTTAGTTGCCCCTGAATTCTTGAAAAATAACATGGAAAACGAGAGACAGACGTTGAGTTATCAGGGCAAAATGTCAGTTTTCTATAGTTATGCCTTGAAACCTTAAATAATAACAGAAAATAAGAGACAGAACCAGTGATCAGTACAAAAAGCCAGTTTTCAACAGTTCCCCCCCCTTAAAGCACTTAATTCAATAGTTCCCCCTTAGAAAACTAGAAAATTTAAATTAGAAAAACATGAACAGGGAGGACTGACTAACCTGATGCATAGGGTAAGTCAAGAAGGTCTCCAGAGTTCTTCCCTGCAAATTAGGTTTATTCTCCAAGCGATTTAGGAAGCCACCGAAGTGAGGATTCTGTTTACACTCTGCCAGAACCTGGAGGCTATAATGATGGTTCTGACGTACTCTTGGTAAATACTTAACATGGGTAGCAGCATGTCAAACAGATCACCTGCTTGGAACAAAAACAGAAGTTAGTGTACTATACAGCTAGGAGGTTAGTGTACTACACTGCTAGGTTAGTGTACTACACTGCTAGGAGGTTAGTGTACTATACAGCTAGGAGGTTAGTGTACTACACTGCTAGGTTAGTGTACTACACTGCTAGGAGGTTAGTGTACTATACAGATAGGAGGTTAGTGTACTACACTGCTAGATTAGTGTACTACACTGCTAGGAGGATAGTGTACAACACTGCTAGGAGGTTAGTGTACTAACACTGCTAGGAGGTTAGTGTACTACACTGCTAGATTAGTGTACTACACTGCTAGGAGGATAGTGTACAACACTGCTAGGAGGTTAGTGTACTACACTGCTAGGAGGTTAGTGTACTACACTGCTAGGAGGTTAGTGTACTACACTGCTAGGAGGTTAGTGTACTACACTGCTAGGAGGTTAGTGTACTACACTGCTAGGAGGTTAGTGTACTACACTGCTAGGAGGTTAGTGTACTACATTGCTAGGAGGTTAGTGTACTACACTGATAGGAGGTTAGTGTACTACACTGCTAGGAGGTTAGTGTACTACATGCTAGGAGGTTAGTGTACTACACTGTAGGAGGTTAGTGTACTACACTGCTAGGAGGTTAGTGTACTACATGCCAGGAGGTTAGTGTACTACACTGCTAGGAGGTTAGTGTACTACGCTGCTAGGAGGTTAATGTACTTACACTACTAGGAGGTTAGTGTACTACACTGCTAGGAGGTTAATGTACTTACACTGCTAGGAGGTTAGTGTACTACACTGCTAGGAGGTTAGTGTACTACACTGCTAGGAGGTTAGTGTACTACACTGCTAGGAGGTTAGTGTACTACACTGCTAGATATAAGTTAGTGTGCAACACTGCTGGGGGTAAGTTAGTGCACAACACTGCTAGATGTAAGTTAGTGTACAACACTGCTGGGGGGTAAGTTAGTGCACAACACTGCTAGATGTAAGTTAGTGTACAACACTGCTGGGGGGTAAGTTAGTGCACAACACTGTTAGATGTAAGTTAGTGTACAACACTGCTAGATGTAAGTTAGTGTACAACACTGCTAGATGTAAGTTAGCGTACAACACTGCTAGATGTAAGTTAGTGTATAACACTGCTAGATGTAAGTTAGTGTACAACACTGCTAGATGTAAGTTAGTGTACAACACTGCTAGATGGTAAGTTAGTGTACAACACTGCTAGATGTAAGTTAGTGTACAACACTGCTAGATGGTAAGTTAGTGTACAACACTGCTAGATGTAAGTTAGTGAACAACACTGCTAGATGGTAAGTTAGTGTACAACATTGCTAGATGTAAGTTAGTGTACAACACTGCTAGATGTAAGTTAGTGTACAACACTGCTAGAATGGTAAGTTAGTGTGTACAACACTGCTAGATGTAAGTTAGTGTACAACACTGCTAGATGTAAGTTAGCGTACAACACTGCTAGATGTAAGTTAGTGTACTACACTGCTAGATGGTAAGTTAGTGTACAACACTGCTAGATGGTAAGTTAGTGTACAACACTGCTAGATGTAAGTTAGTGTACAACACTGCTAGATGTAAGTTAGTGTACAACACTGCTAGATGTAAGTTAGTGTACAACACTGCTAGATGTAAGTTAGTGTACTACACTGCTAGAGGGTAAGTTAGTGTACTACACTGCTAGATGGTAAGTTAGTGTACAACACTGCTAGATGTAAGTTAGTGTACTACACTGCTAGAGGGTAAGTTAGTGTACTACACTGCTAGAGGGTAAGTTAGTGTACAACACTGCTAGAGGGTAAGTTAGTGTACAACACTGCTAGATGTAAGTTAGTGTAAAACACTGCTAGATGTAAGTTAGTGTACAACACTGCTAGAGGGTAAGTTAGTGTACAACACTGCTAGATGTAAGTTAGTGTACAACACTGCTAGATGTAAGTTAGTGTACAACACTGCTAGATGTAAGTTAGTGTACAACACTGCTAGATGGTAAGTTAGTGTACAACACTGCTAGATGTAAGTTAGTGTACAACACTGCTAGATGGTAAGTTAGTGTACAACACTGCTAGATGGTAAGTTAGTGTACAACACTGCTAGATGTAAGTTAGTGTACAACACTGCTAGATGTAAGTTAGTGTACAACACTGCTAGATGGTAAGTTAGTGTACAACACTGCTAGATGGTAAGTTAGTGTACAACACTGCTAGATGTAATTAGTGTACAACACTGCTAGATGTAAGTTAGTGTACAACACTGCTAGATGTAAGTTAGTGTACAACACTGCTAGATGTAAGTTAGTGTACAACTCTGCTAGATGTAAGTTAGTGTACAACACTGCTAGATGTAAGTTAGTGTACAACACTGCTAGATGGTAAGTTAGTGTACAACACTGCTAGATGTAAGTTAGTATACAACACTGCTAGATGTAAGTTAGTGTACAACACTGCTAGATGTAAGTTAGTGTACAACACTGCTAGATGTAAGTTAGTGTACAACACTGCTAGATGGTAAGTTAGTGTACAACACTGCTAGATGGTAAGTTAGTGTACAACACTGCTAGATGTAAGTTAGTGTACAACACTGCTAGATGGTAAGGTAGTGTACAACACTGCTAGATGGTAAGTTAGTGTACAACACTGCTAGATGTAAGTTAGTGTACAACACTGCTAGATGTAAGTTAGTGTACAACACTGCTAGGTGTAAGTTAGTGTACAACACTGCTAGATGGTAAGTTAGTGTACAACACTGCTAGATGTAAGTTAGTGTACAACACTGCTAGATGTAAGTTAGTGTACAACACTGCTAGATGTAAGTTAGTGTACAACACTGCTAGATGTAAGTTAGTGTACAACACTGCTAGATGTAAGTTAGTGTACAACACTGCTAGATGTAAGTTAGTGTACAACACTGCTAGATGTAAGTTAGTGTACAACACTGCTAGATGTAAGTTAGTGTACAACACTGCTAGATGTAAGTTAGTGTACAACACTGCTAGATGTAAGTTAGTGTACAACACTGCTAGATGTAAGTTAGTGTACAACACTGCTAGATGTAAGTTAGTGTACAACACTGCTAGATGTAAGTTAGTGTACAACTCTGCTAGATGTAAGTTAGTGTACAACACTGCTAGATGTAAGTTAGTGTACAACACTGCTAGATGGTAAGTTAGTGTACAACACTGCTAGATGTAAGTTAGTGTACAACACTGCTAGATGGGAAGTTAGTGTACAACACTGCTAGATGTTTAAATTAGTGTACAACACTGCTAGATGTAAGTTAGTGTACAACACTGCTAGATGGTAAGTTAGTGTACAACACTGCTAGATGGTAAGTTAGTGTACAACACTGCTAGATGTAAGTTAGTGTACAACACTGCTAGATGGTAAGGTTTGTGTACAACACTGCTAGATGGTAAGTTAGTGTACAACACTGCTAGATGTAAGTTAGTGTACAACACTGCTAGATGTAAGTTAGTGTACAACACTGCTAGGTGTAAGTTAGTGTACAACACTGCTAGATGGTAAGTTAGTGTACAACACTGCTAGATGTAAGTTAGTGTACAACACTGCTAGATGTAAGTTAGTGTACAACACTGCTAGATGTAAGTTAGTGTACAACACTGCTAGATGTAAGTTAGTGTACAACACTGCTAGATGTAAGTTAGTGTACAACACTGCTAGATGTAAGTTAGTGTACAACACTGCTAGATGTAAGTTAGTGTACAACACTGCTAGATGTAAGTTAGTGTACAACACTGCTAGATGTAAGTTAGTGTACAACACTGCTAGATGTAAGTTAGTGTACAACACTGCTAGATGTAAGTTAGTGTACAACACTGCTAGATGTAAGTTAGTGTACAACACTGCTAGATGTAAGTTAGTGTACAACACTGCTAGATGTAAGTTAGTGTACAGCACTGCTAGATGTAAGTTAGTGTACAACACTGCTAGAGGGTAAGTTAGTGTACAACACTGCTAGATGTAAGTTAGTGTACAACACTGCTAGATGTAAGTTAGTGTACAACACTGCTAGATGGTAAGTTAGTGTACAACACTGCTAGATGTAAGTTAATGTACTACACTGCTAGAGGGTAAGTTAGTGTACTACACTGCTAGAGGGTAAGTTAGTGTACAACACTGCTAGAGGGTAAGTTAGTGTACAACACTGCTAGATGTAAGTTAGTGTACAACACTGCTAGATGTAAGTTAGTGTACAACACTGCTAGATGTAAGTTAGTGTACAACACTGCTAGATGTAAGTTAGTGTACAACACTGCTAGATGTAAGTTAGTGTACAACACTGCTAGATGGTAAGTTAGTGTACAACACTGCTAGATGTAAGTTAGTGTACAACACTGCTAGATGTAAGTTAGTGTCACAACACTGCTAGATGTAAGTTAGTGTACAACACTGCTAGATGTAAGTTAGTGTACAACACTGCTAGATGTAAGTTAGTGTACAACACTGCTAGATGTAAGTTAGTGTACAACACTGCTAGATGTAAGTTAGTGTACAACACTGCTAGATGTAAGTTAGTGTACAACACTGCTAGAGGGTAAGTTAGTGTACAACACTGCTAGATGTAAGTTAGTGTACAACACTGCTAGATGGTAAGTTAGTGTACAACACTGCTAGATGGTAAGTTAGTGTACAACACTGCTAGATGTAAGTTAGTTAAACACTGCTAGATGTAAGTTAGTGTACAACACTGCTAGATGGTAAGTTAGTGTACAACACTGCTAGATGTAAGTTAGTGTACAACACTGCTAGATGTAAGTTAGTGTACAACACTGCTAGATGTAAGTTAGTGTACAACACTGCTAGATGTAAGTTAGTGTACAACACTGCTAGATGTAAGTTAGTGTACAACACTGCTAGATGTAAGTTAGTGTACAACACTGCTAGATGTAAGTTAGTGTACAACACTGCTAGATGTAAGTTAGTGTACAACACTGCTAGATGTAAGTTAGTGTACAACACTGCTAGATGGTAA